TGTGATATAATTGGAGTGCTGGTGGTTCTATATCAAATAAAATGTAATATGATTGGCTGGCAGTAGCTGCGGATTCAATAAGATCTAATCCGATTGGCTCATATGGATTCTATATATCCCATAAGGTAAAATATGACAGTTTTCCAGGGACTTTGAGGCACTTTGTTTTCCAAGTGCATTGTACATGGACTCTGTCCCAGAGAGCCTGGCACGCCACAGCTCCAGACAAAAGGCGAGTCAGTGAGCTTTTCCAGCAGGTATTTCCCAGTCTAGCTCTGCTTTGCGCCAGCAGAAGCAGTAGTTTAGGAGGATTAGCCCACATCCATCTGCAAGTAGGCCAGAATATCTTTCCATGTTTTCTCTGCAAGACAGCCAAGTTCTGTATCTCCTCTGTTTTCTGTGAGGGAAGGTTCCAGGATGGATTTTGTATTGTTTTGCAAAGGTTTTCTTATAAAACAACTGAGTAAAATGCATAAACACATGAAAGGCAGTGTAAAACCATGAACCATTATAGCCGCTGCTTCTATAATGAGGTAGTGTAATGCAGTTTATTGTACAGTCGCCTTTTACAGCGCCTTGCAGTCTGTGTGCTGTTTTAATGTTGCAGATCAGGGGTCAGCATTTGAAGCCTACACTGTGGCGCCACTCCAGTCCAGTTTCAAGAAACTCTTTGAAACGGGACTGCTAAGCACAACTAAAACTCACACTTTGCGCAAAAGAAAAGCACTCAAGATATGCTGTAGCTTAAAAGGATCAACGAGTGATGGGCAAATTTACCAGACAGACGTTTTAATTAGCAAATGTTTTAAAAGTATGTTTCAGTTCAAAGTCTGTCATCTTAGCTCATTCCCTTTTCCTGCTCCCATTATGACAGCAGTGCTAAATGTATGAGATCTTTATTGTACAAGCACTGATGTAGGCCATATTTTTATGGCACTACAAAACAATCAAGGGAACTGTTGTTATTCACATTCAGGCACGAAGCCTCCTCAGTGCCGTTAACTGAAAGAGAAAGACAGCAGCATCTGATTCCTTTGTAAGCGGAGTGCAAATGGGAGGACATGTGGGTGGATGAATAACACCAGCTGTCTACGATTACAAACAGGATGTGTCCCCTGTTAGAAGCAACTAAACTTCCACTCACTTTCAGAAATCAAGACGCAGAGGTAACGCGAGCATTCCTTCAGGTTTTGCATTCTTGGCTCTAGGTGGTTGCGCAGGTGGTGCAAAGCAAACCTTTTTTTGGGGGATATCTTGGCAAAATAACACGATTAAAGGCGTGTTTTATTAGCTGTTTTCTGCTTCTGCTTTTTGTCCACCCGTGAATGTGCAGACAAATATAACTAATTTACTTTGATGTGAGAAAAACTAAAGGATGTGATGATTCTCACAGAAGCTGTGGATTTACACAAATTCTTCTGATTTCAAGGCTGATTAAACGTTGAGCTGCAGTGGACACTGACGTTATGAAGTGTGGGCAGTAACGCGTTACTTGTAATGTGTTACTGTAATCAGATTACTTTTTTCAAGTAACGAGTAAAGTAAGGGATTACTATTGCAAAAACGGTAATTAGATTACCGTTACTTTCCCGTAGGAACGCTGCGTTACTGCGTTACTAAAACCGTAATTTTTTGCGAGAATGTCTCATGACAGTGACCAAGTGTGACGTTCGTGACAACAGCTGTGTGCAGATCAACAATGGATAATATACCGAGTGCGGGAGAGAGTATGAGCGTGCAGCGTTTAAAGCGTGGAAGTACTGACCTTACTTTGAGTTTGATTCCATAAAAAGTGACAAAAACATTAGTGTCCGTTGTGCGTGGGAAGAAAACTTCTTTTTACAGCGAAAAAAAAACCCTAAACTTCCGAGCAAGCACCGAGTAGCTACGACGTAATGGGAAACTCACAGAGAAACTCGCGGATTCTTCCACCTGCACCAGGGTAAACCTCCGCCTACCCCACTCCTGCTTTACAGGTGAAAATAGAGCCAAAGGACCGCTAGTCTTTGACTTTATTTATTTTCTGCTGTGTTTTACTTGCATCTATTTGAAAGACTGAGTGTAAACACACACAAAAAAATATATTTTATGTGCTGGAATGTGCAGAAAATAGGTTTAAATATTAAACAAATTTCTTCCAGTCAGAAAATGTTGCATATAATAAAATTTTTGCTTGATGCATAAAGTTAAAAGATTAAAACGAATAAAACAAGTTTTAAAAAGAGACTTTTCCATTTGATTACATTTTGTATGATGGATTATGCAGAAAAAGTAGAATTGGGCTGAAAGATCTATCGCTTTATCACCTATTCAGGTTGTAAATCGTGTTTTTAAAAAGTAACTAAGTAATTAATTACTTTTGAAAATAAGTAATCAGTAAAGTAACGGGATTACTTTTTGGGGGAAGTAATCAGTAATTAGTTACTGATTACTTTTTTCAAGTAACTTGACCAACACTGGTTGTGAAGAGAGTTAAAGTCATGCTGATCTAAAAACTATGGTAATCACACATAGGCCATATTTGACTGTCAGAACAAGGGCCGTGTTTTAACACGCACCGTGACAATAGGGTTAGTACCTTAACTATGTCAATAAGGCATGTGTCATCATCGCTGCTGCAGCTCTGTCCTCTGAATCTGAATCTCTCCCTCCATTTCCCTGTAAAATCTCGTGCTAACCAAAGACAGTTTTTTGTTTTGTTTTTTCAATTTCCCTTTTCCGTTCATCTGATCCAAACACGAAGAGGGATGCAGCGCCGACATCTTTATCTATCTTCATTCGGTGCACTGTAGAGGCTCACAATGTGATCTTAATGTAACAACACGTACAAGTTATAATTAAAGTCAAAGACAGTGATTATGCAGCCCTATCAGCCATTTTTACTTACATAAGTAAGTAACAATCTGATTTCTGAAATGCAAGGTTGCTGATATTATGTTAATCATCGTCTTCGAATAATCGCAATAAGGACTCAATAAATAACTAAATTTATTATTTTGCCAAACACAACATAGAACAATTAAACTGCTTTTTGCATTTTCAATGGTGTTACGAGTTTCGTAGCAGAGGATGCTGACGTTGTGTTTATGCACAGAATCAGAGTCTGTTGATAAGTTATCACGGCAGAGCATCTTTTGAACTTGTTTCATGCTGAAATACTAATCGTCCAGACAAAGTCGAGTAAGCAAGCCAACAAAAGCACCAAGCAACAAAAGCAACAGCTGAACATCTCATCTCCACACACAGCCCCATAACAAACACAAACAGCTGTACAGAGCAGCCCCTTTGCAGGATTTCTCTGCTGTATCTGCTCTCAGCATCTGCGTCACCATCACAAAGTTCCTTTTGCATGCACTCTGTAACACTTGCTCACAAGCAAAGTTCTAAACCAGTTGGACTGGATTCTAAACCAGTTAAGATGTTTCACAAGGGACATGCAGGCTTTCCGCTTCAGTTTGAGGCGCTGATAAGGAGAATTGCCTGAAGTGCTTAGAGTAGTGAAAGTAAATACATTTTTTATACAAAGGCTGACATTTTCAGAGACTCAAAAGTAATCGGATAAACTAAGGTGATTCAAAAGATAATAATATTTTCAACAGAAACCTTTTTAGTGCTTTAGCATCAGTTTGAAAGCATGTGGTTTTTGCTATCTCTCTGATCGAGGTTGTTCAGCTTACACTGACATCTCTTAAGACGTAATGTTGTAGATTCCAGTGAAAAAATACCAAATACAAGTTCAAAGCTTGAAATAAACTGCAGATCTTTTCTCTGTTCAGTTCCTACCTGGCCATGAATCTGCTTATCAGTTCAGTTAGTCTGAATACCTGAATATCAGGGAAAATATATAAAAATTGCTTTAATTCCAAACAATGGTTGAATGCCTTGAATTAAAGCTGAAAGTGTGCAATGTCAGTTTGATTGTTTGATTTAACAGCCAGTGTGACGGTGTAGACACAAAGGCAAAATTACATAAAGCTGTATCATTGTTAAACTACTTAAAAATATAGCATATGTACAAGAAAAAATTCAGTATAAAAGTGAACAAAAAACTGTGACTTATTATTAACTAAACTGTGATTTCCAATGAGAAAAAGAACTATATTCTCAGCATATGTCTCTAAATGCCCCGAGGTAGGAACAGTGATCTTGGCAGAGCATATCAACCCCGCCACAGTCCCATATCGCGCACAGCTTTGGCACATATGCCTCCATATTAGAAAGTTTACACAAGAAGAGACTGAAACTGGCTAATTACAGATTAACAATCATGTAATAATAACATTACACATGTTTTTAAGTAATTAAACCTGGCATTAACAATCAAAAATCAAAGTAATTGTGTTCATTTCTTGAGAAAAATCCAAATCATCAGAAGTATGATTATAAAAATCAACTACTTGTTTTCTCAATTTACGTAACAAAATAACAACATATCAGCAATGCTTCAAAACCCCAGCAGCCAAAGTGCTAACTTACTACAAAACTTTTAAATAAATACAAGCACAACATAAAAAGTGCTGCTCAAACTGAGCCTTAGAACAAACAACTCTCATTTATTGGATCTTGCAGACTTCGTACTGATCAACTCGCATCAACCACTTCTCAGAAATTAACAGTGTTTGTACACATAAAGGCCATAATCTGTAGAGCCACAGAATCATTTTAGGCGGTCACTCTTGTTTTTCAGTCCATGTGTAACCAGCATCTACCCCTGAGAATACTCGTCAGCTGCTTTAAATTGCTTCTTCTTAGACTCTGGATCCAGTGGGAACTTGTTTTTTTACAGAAAGCTGTGATAAGCAGATGGCTGGGAAGGCACTTGTCAAGGCTGATGTAGCAGAACATCTTTCGAAAGCTTGTTTTATGCGCAGCTCTCCTTTGCAGAAAAGTGTAAATAGTGCTGACCTTAATGCGCTTTAGCTGTGTCTGAAACGTATAAATGCCTGCAGCTTTTATCAGAGGGAGAAAACGATTGTATGCAATCTTGTGTGGACACTTACAAAGCATGATGAGGGTGGTTGTCCCTTGTTCATTTCCAGTAGGATAGGTGGCGTACTCGCAGGTATAGCGACCGGCATCGGACATTCTCAGGTTAGAAATCCTGATGGATGGGTTCTCCAGACTGTTGTGTAGGAACACAACGCGGTCCTTGAAGGCCACATTAGGGAAACTCTGTCCATACACCGGGTGGTACACAGCAATGTTGTCCCTGTGTCCGTCGGAGGGTTCCCATATCCAGGACACCTGATAAGAATCAAGAATTTATAAACGGCAGCGGTTAAAGTTTGCTTTTATTTTTATGGTACACAACTATAGCTCATTAAAGACGATAAATTTGTGCAGCAGACTAACTTTTGACTCACATCATCCTAACAAGGTTCTTAAGCAGTCAGCAGCTCTTTCAATCATCTAATGAGGAGGTCTTTAAATACTGACACTGGAGGGCTGTAACCAGGAGATTAATAATGTTGCCGCGGATTAACGTATGCTGTGGTGTTCGACATGAGCAGTAAATTGTCCCCATTATAGTTAGCCAAATTGAATACTAGAAGTTCCTTTTGTTCCTACAGTAACTGATTACTTTGAAGCTGGGATACCAGTAATCATTTTTTAAAGAATCATCTTTTGTGTTATTTTAATAGAATTTATTGCACTTAATTAGATTCACACCGAATCTAAAAGTATGTTCATCAGGTCTTTGGCAGACTAAGAAAAGTCTATTAACCCTTTAAGACCTACCATAGAACCAAGTCCGCCAGAGCTTATATTATATTTTTACATGCTG